CTGCCAGTGTGACGATGGCTTCTTCTTCGATGGCCAGGGCTGTGTGATTCTGCAGAGGTGTGGGTGTTTCGAGCAGGGGAGATACTACAAGGTACAGCCTCAAGGAGTCTGGGTCTGATCTAAATTTTTTTCTCACATATCTTAATCCCTACACTAGTCAGGAACAGGGTTTGCTATAGTGGATCAGAGCATTGGCCTATCCAGCCTGGCATCCCCGCTTTGTTAATACCCAATGCCCAAATCACCAAGAAAAGCAAGATTTGATTCCCTTTGTCCAGTGTGGGGAAACTGAGGCATAGAGGGGGGCAGTTTTGCTCAACACCACCCAGTGAATGTGTAGCAGATGGGAGGTTAAAACCTAGGCATTGTCCTGTCCCTCAGCCCAATTCTTAGCTCATTAGAAAGCCTCTCTCTTTAATGTTAAGAGAAATAATATTATGACACAATAGTTTTTCCACACACCTCACCACACAGCTCTGAGTTTAGCACAGCCAGAAATAACCATTTCCAGTTACATTGCGTTATTTCCTGCTTCCCAAACATCCCATCAGCCCAGTGAGACGGTCCTGATGAATGAGTGCCAGCAAAGCTGCACCTGCATTCCTGCCCGAGGGGTGACCTGCAAAGCCCACAGCTGCATCAGTGGAGAAACCTGCCAGATCAGAGATGGCATCATGGACTGCATCAGCCAAGGTAAAGGAGAGTCACTGATTGAAACATGCCCTGCGAGGTTCTTGCACAAGCAGTGAGTAAAGTCATTTTAATTATGTCTCCTCACCCTTCTCACTCTCTCTCCTCCTTTATTTAGCCTGGAACGCTGACCCGTAATATTAGAGAATTTCGACTTGAAAGATGGAAACACTTGTTGGGTCAGAGTCGCTGCTGCGTCCATCTTCTGATGTGCACAGCAGAGCCAAGTGGGCAGCTGTCAGGAAGGTGATCACACTCGTAGATCTTCTTCCTGGCTATAGCCTAGGGGCTGCTCTAAATTGGAGCCTACTGGCTGTGGGGGCCATTAGTCACTTGGGCACTGTCAGAGCCCAGCACATCCCAGCCACTCTCCTTTGCCTGCTCCATGCTGCCCACAACATGCCCATAGGTGGTGTACCACCTCTGCCGGGCATTGCAGGGAAGGAGACATAGGAGCCAGTTTTGCTGTGGTCACACACATGCAGAGATTTCCTCAGCATGGGACTCGTGGGAGGTTTGTGAATGATGCAAAGGAAGTGTGTATGGGTAGAGAGGAAGAGAGACAGAGGAGTGCATGGTGATAGATATAACAATATGTGTGGGGGGAGAGATGAAAAAATAGATGTTACTGATTAGTCTGCTGTTTCTTGTCTTTCTATTGTCTTTCCCCATTAGTTATTCCAAAGCCATCCTGCAGTGTGGTCCGCTGCAGGGAAGGAACAATTTGTAAGATGATAAATGAGCAGCCAAAGTGTGTGCCAGTCTCTCGGGGCACGTGCTGGGCTGAGGGATACTTTCATTACCACACCTTCGATGGATGGGCGTACGATTTCCATGGCAACTGCACCTACACCGTGGCCAAGACCTGCAGGGATGCCTCCGGCCTGCCCTCCTTCCATGTCATGGCCAAGAGCGAGAACAGTGGGAACACACAGGTCTTCTACAGTGGGTCGGTGACTGTCCAGGTGGATGGAGTCACTGTCACAGCAGCCAGGGCTGAAGCCGGCTTTGTGTGGGTGAGTGCTGGGCGCGCACATCCACTCTGCTCTTATGTCCACCCTGTAGGCTTTGCTAAATAGAGGGCAGGAAACTGCAGTCCCCACCACGGATGGGGCATGTTGTGGATAGGACAGAGCAGGCAAAGGAGAGTGGCTGGGAGGTGGTGGGCCCTGACAGTGCCCAGCTGGCTAACGGCCCCTATGGGACCACAGCCAGTCAGTTCCATTTAAAGCAGCCCCC